GTGACACATGCAGGTGCACACAGCGCGCCCGCTCGTCTCTAACTGGCTGAGACCCGGAGCGGCGATATTTCTGATCTTACGCGACGGACGCGCGCTACTCGACGCTACTCGGCTTCGCTCAGGGACGCGCCGCGGTGATACACATCGCGCTAGCCGCCCGCGTATCGCACTGTCAAAATAAAACCTCCCTATTGCGAGCAAAACTGCCTCGATGTGACACACACTCTGGCACTCATTTTCGTTATGTCTTCGGTCACGTTCGCCCTGGTTCGCCCACCCGAACGGCCAAAGTGATCCACCTCTCGGCTGCGAACGCGACGCCACCTGTCGGAGTGCGTCTGAAGGCACTGTCCGAGTGCCTCCGGGTATCATTTTATCCTTGTTGTTCACCGAATGTTAAACGAGGACGATATGATACTTGGAGGCATTCGAGGAATGTTTTTGAACGCAACCTCAACCGACAACGCCCCCAAAGCGGCATGCGCGCATGCGATTGGACGGTGCTCAGCTGATCAGACCAATCGCCTGGCGCCTATAGTTATCGAAAACAGTGCGACTCTTTTGTGGTTTGAGGCTTTAGTTCATGCTGGAGCGATCTTCAAATAGGATATCGATGTTGATATGCTCTTTTTAACTGCTTTTTTCAACACCTTTCCATCCTTTTTTTCTCCTTTTCTCGATATATCTTAAATGCAACAAAACATGGTAAAATGTATTAAACAACTGGCTGGGTGTAGACGTTGCATCTATTCGTTTTCTTACCTCTTTTATACTTTATTTTCTCTTAAATATAAACAGTATAGAGAGTATGTGTTGTACTGTTAATAAAAAAAGAACAAGTCATTCAAAGCCACTCGTTCGATAATCGATATCTAATATTACAATTGTTTACAAGTATTCCAATTACTTATTTCTTTCTAGTAGTATTGATTAGTAATATCGATTTCCTTTGAAGATAAACCAAGAAAATAAGAATTGATAGGAACTTCTGATTTACTCGGAGAAATAAAGACATATAATGATTATTATTACGATTCTGCAGAAATTTATTATGAATAACACTTATAGGAAGTCGATTTCAACGTCATTCGGTATCGATACTTATCGCATTTTATCTTGATAATTAATGTATGTGCTTTATTTCTTTTTATTAGATAAATTGGAATTTCTTATTTTTTAATGACCTCTCCTTTTCTTGTTCTTATCGAAGATTACAGAGAATTTCTATCATATCTTGCTAGTATATACTGTTACTTCCACCATGCGATGGCTCATGCTCGTATTTGCCATGAAATAAACTCGCCGATGTGGTTATGTTCGCTTCCATATCCAGAATTTCGTGCGATGCGATGCATTCGGAGAAATAGTCTTTCTAACTTAAATTTATCGCTTCGTCTCGATGACGTATAACGAGAAATGGGCGCGCGTAGATAAATTCTATTAATACCTTGTTGATAAAATTATGAAAAAATTACGAAATATATCAATAATATTGCAATTTTGTGCGTAGCACACGTGAATTTTTAGAGTGACTGGCTCTGAACAAGTATCACGTATTAAACGCATTATTACATGTCTGCATTCTTTATTAATTGACAATTTTGCCATAAGCATAATTATTGTACAAAATTCATGTGTATTTTATACAAAGATGTCGCACATAAAAACATTACCTTTGCTAGATGGAACGAAAGTAATTGTTATAGATGAAGGTTAGTTATTTCCCCTTATAGAATATGTTATCTAATAATAATAGATTGTACAAATTAATCTATATGATATATATAAAACTAATCTATATATTTTTGTAAAAAGTGCTGATTTGTCTGTATTTTATAGATATAGAAGCAGCATATGCAACAGCGTTGATAGCTGGATGGATACACGCATGGAAGGAGAAGAGTTCTGATTATAGTATTGATTTGGTGTCATTTTCGGATCCAAAAACGTGGTATAACACTCAACCACTTACACCCACAAAAGTAACCATACATGATTATTTTAGTATTCAGCCGACTGAAAACGCTGAGAAACAAGACTCTGAAAATCTTGATCATGCACTCAAAAACATCAAGATGAAACCTCAGAATACAGTTGTTGTCAATTGTCTGGGTTCCTTGGTTGTGTATGTGGGTTTAGAAAAGGCTATTAGATTTATAGAGAAGTTGAGTAAACAGGTGTCACAATTGATATGCATTTATCGAAGGGATTTCATGAAAATTAAAGTACCTGCAATGGAGACTTTTGGCACTACCTACGTCAAGCTAGAAAAGTTTACAGGAAACAGCTCTACAAACAATATAATTTATATTGCACAGCTCACTCATAGAAAGTCTGGTGGTTCCGTGATATGTCAAACAGAAATAATAAAGCAAGATATTAAATCTTATCAAATCACCGTTGAAAAAGTTACAGTACCAAGCATTTGTAAAACAGAAACAGAACCCGTAAAGATTGAAACGTCGTTTAGGACAGAAATAAGTGCTCAGGAAATGGAGCAAAGAGACAAGACACCTTTACCTTATACTTTGAATACAACGAATACATCAAAGATATTTTATCAACCTGAAGATGTAGACGATATAGATGAAGAAGATCCTGATGATGATTTGTGTATATAAGTTTATAAAAATCAAAGAATTTGTATGAAGACTAAAATATGTTTTCATTTAAAATATTTGATGTATATATTTATATATATATTTATATATATATATATATATATAAACAAAAGTTTGTTGTGTATATTTCATATATTTCACTGTAGGATAAATTTTTTCGAATTCTGAGGGTAGATTTTTATAGATATACAAAATTATATGGATTACACAGTGAGAAGCAGAAAGAAAATTCTTTTTAAAATTATATTAGTAATAAAATAAAATTGTATTGAAAAATGACAAATTAATATAACACATTGCATTAAAATTATCAATTTGTTCAGATAAATCTTACTTTTCTAGTAATTTAGAATCATTTCCAAAATAACTTACATCTGCTTAAAAAAATATTAGTTTCTTGGAATCTCTTGCTATAATATTTTAATTTGCGAATTTTTAGACATTCAATATTTTATGTACAGTATATTTTACATACAAAATACTTCTCCAGAAGAAAAGTTCATTTTATACATTAATAAGAAATTGCACTTTTAATATTGTCGTGTATTTATTACTTATGGTTTACATAGCATTTATAATAATTTATTTTAACAAGTAAAATAATAAATTAATTCAATATAAAAAAAATATAAAATCATGATACAAATTCAGAATAAATCTTTAGGACATTTCAATTTCTTTACAATTCTTACAAAGAATTCCGCTCGATATTCTTCTTTTATGGCTCACGCCTCCAAACAATCAATAGGAGGTCGATACGGCATTTCCGCTCGATATAAATAATATTGCCAAGACAATTTAAATATTTCCTATACCATTTCTTTGGTTTCTTTAGATCTGTTTTCTGTGGTTGAACTAGTGTACACTTTTGGAACTTAAAGTGAGATAGAAATACATTTGATATTTATTTAAAGCGAGAAAGAATTCTAGAACAGTCTAAGCAGGAACAAAAAACAGACCATTTATTGTTCGTTCATTATTTCCATTATACTTATATCTAGAGTCCAAAACTTTTATCGAAACTGAAAACGAACACTCATTACGTACCAGTTTCAACTGAAACCATATAGCTCTTCATAAATATTAATTTTGATATGTATAATTATTGTTTCTATTGACTACATATTTGTCAGCTTAACCAAATTCTCCACATGGTCTTCCAACCGTCATGTGAGCAGCTATAATTCTGGAAACATAATTTATCAAAAAACGGTCTATTTTGAAAAGATAAAGTCGTACATGCAACTAGATTTATTGTATTTCTGATAAAGGCTCGAACAAGTAGCTGAAATATGTCAAGAGTTTGAATTTATGAGATTAGCTTTGAATAAAAACTTTATGTAATTATTATCAGAATATATAAATTAAGTTACGCAACAAGTCCTGCGGTTGGCTCTTCATTACTCTGTCAATTTATACTATTATAATTATTGTTTCAATAATTAAATTATGATGTTTATGAAGGCTGCATTCGGAAACGTCGCTCAGATGATATTAAATGTTAAACAAGGACAGATGATGAATCCGAGGCATCGGAGGCATCCGAGCGACGTTTCCGAACGCAACCGAAGAAGAAGTACTTATATTCTTTGGCCAAAATTAACACATAACCGAAATTTCGGTTTTCGATTTTGGTCGATATTTAATTATTGTTTCAATAAATTATGATATTTAAGAAGAAAAAGTGTATGATATATGGGCATGTCTATACATATGGCTTTTATGAGATTCCTATTTTTTAATTTTTTGTGGTTTCGGTTTCAGTTGAAATTGACATGTAGCCAAGTATTTCGGTTCAGTTTCAGCAAAAGTTTCAATTGGACTCTACTTTATCACATGCTTAATTAAATGTATAATAAATAATTAAGATCTTTATAAAAATAGCTTTTTTTAATATTGAAACAATGCTTCAATTGTTAAACTATATAATGAGAATGCAATATGTCGTACTAAACATAGCCTTTACTCATTTTAAACATTCACAGTAAAATAGTAAACTTTACCTCTAATACTAATGCTGCTCTTTAATAAAAAATAGTAGGAATATGTCACTACATATTGTGGAATATGTAAATTTATCGCGTTTTATTAATATAAATATTCAAGATGCTATTTTCATCGATAAAATATTTCTCACAGAGATAAATCAAGGGATATTTTCTATTAATGTAATCATCATTGTATAAATGTGGCATCACAAATATAACCATACTAACATAAAACTATACAATAATTAAAATTTAGTTGACCAATTAATTTGTGTGCTCACTTTTGAAAAATTATAAATTATATTTAGAACGTAATATATAATCAAACCTCTAACCGAAAAAAAAAACATGATTACAATACGGTTAAAGTATTAACCCATGCTATAAGTAGTCTATTTCAATAAATATTAATTTTTGTATGTGTCAATTAGTATTATTTTGTTTATTGATAAAAGATAATAAGATAAAATAGAATCATGCTGTGATATGTAATAGTACAAGTTGAAAATAAAACAAGATCGAGTAAAATACTGACAATGTGAAAGTAAAAGGAAAAACACGAAGAAAGATGAGAAGAAAAAGATTGAAATATTTCAAAAAAATGTAACTATAGATAACCAATATAGTGGTGTCAGAATAAAATAATGTTAACATGGTAAGAGCGCTACAAATATTACAGTAAAATTATGGACACTTCATAAATAAAAGTTATGCAATTTGTTAAAACAAATTCAATAAAAAAAAAAGAAGTTATAGATACACATGGACTTGATTTTATAAATTTCTATTTTGTATATATTAAAATATGGAAATATATTTAAAATTTAAATCAAATTGCTTTCCATATAATGTATGATGTAGCGGGTAGAACGATGACGTCTCGAGAAAATGTAAATACATCAAGCGAATTAGAATTACTGATTATAAAAAAAAAGGAGAATATAGTTAGATTCGCTACCAGACAGTCTTCTCCTTTCCTTCCTCTTTATAAATCAAATACAAATTCATACAAAAAAAGGCATTAAAAAGGCTAAAAATAAAAATAAAAAAGGAAACAAACAAAAAAAACAATAAAATCAAGAAAATAAATTAAATCAACCGAAGAATATTAAATAAAAAAACGAGCGAATTTGAAAACCAAGAATAGATTGCACAAACCAAATGAATAAGAAACGCAGAGATTTGATTATATTCTATAAATTGTCATTATAATTTTCATTATAATCTTTCTTGTTTTGTCACTCAAATATTCATTATTTAAAATATGAAATCGAATAGAATTATCTATCGGAAAAAATTTGATCAGATCTTTCGAAAATTGAACTATGCGTTAAACGTATACAGAAGATTCTGGTCATAGAAATGATGTGTACCATCAACATGTTGCAGAACCCTACTCTCCAACAAACAGCGACCATAACGCACAGCATCTTCTCGATTATCAACAATGCCAACTTCGAGCAACCAGTTGACCAAATCTGTTCCCGAAAAGACTCCTCTGTAGACCCTCAATAATCGCCTACGGCACATAGATATGCGTGCTCGACAGGCATCTAAATGACATCGACTAAATTGTTCTCGAATCTCTTTTACTTCTGAACTGAGAGCTTCCTCACAAGGAAGTTGTAATTCTTTTCCTATCAAAATTACAATGTATTATTGAACGTATATGTATAAAATCAATCAATAATATGTGAAATATACATATTATAAAAGTACTGTACCAGATTGCCATTTTCTGCACATTTTTCGAAGCCAACATCCTAATTTACCCAAACGAGGATCTAATCCAAAAATTGCGAACGCTATTAGTGATTGTCCAAAGTTCAAAGTCACATCTAAGAATGAAAGCTCGGCATAAATGCCAGTTAACTGTTCCATTATTAATGTTCCCACGGATATCGATAAGCCCTATAATATATCAAAATTAGTTTTACAATCTTGATAATGTCCAAGTAAAGAAAATAATAATTTACGTACTATAAACATGGAACATAACAACAGAATTAAAAAAACCGCATGTCGCAAAATCTGAGGATCATCATCTGCATTCGTTTCATTTTCTTCCTCACAGCCATCTCCATCTTCATTAGCTCTGCATGCTTCATTCGAACAACCATTTTGAAATTCACAACTAATTCTAAAAGTTTTTATATCAACATTAATTTATAAATTTCTTTATAGTTACATACCCCCTTACTTGGAGTTAACTTGCGAGTTAACTTACATAGATGTTGAATTAATTAATGGAGACACTAAATCTTCCACATCTACTATGATTCTTTCATTATTTTCGGTTGTAGAATTTTGTACATCGTTCCTTAGATGTCCATATGACATGGTATTGTGCCTTCTTTGATATCTTTGTTGTAAGATCAAACAACCTAATGTCACTATGTACAGAAAAATGATTATTATAAGGTTTATATAAAGTAAACGTCCTAGTAACCGGACATATACATACCTATGTCCAGACATTTACACAAAACTTTATATTTACTTAAATTATTATTAATTTCAAATGTTTTTTTAAAATGTAATATTGTAATTTAATTGTAATCTTTAAATACAATTATAATATTGTAATAAAAAAAACGTTTGAGATTAATAATAAATTTTGTGTATCCGGAAATAGTATACTATATACATGTATCCGGAAATATATACTATATACATGTCCGGTCACTGAGATGTTTATCATATAAGATTTTAAATACGATTATCTGCACAATTATGTAATATTATAATTTGAATATAGTAATTTGACAAATATAAATACTTTCAAAATTTTCATTAAAAATATAATATAAAACATATATGTATATTTCTTGTAACATACCTATAAAGCAAAATATTAATATGAATGAAGATATAGCGGCTTGAGTCCTACCTAATTGAAAATTAGGATTTTTAAAATCAAGATCAGACGGATTTAATCTAACAGTAACGCATATTAATGTCACAATTAGAAGTGGTACTCTATAAATTAATATATATATTATATAGTAAATAAAAATATTATAAGTAATTTAAATTAA